TTCAGAGGACCTGCTTTATATATAGTGTAGAGTATTTGTTAACAGATTAAAAGAAATTCTAGGTGATAAAATTAGGAGATATTTTTTACCTATAATATATAAGCTTAATAATAGCTTATGGCTAATCTCATTTCCTAGTTTAGGAATATATCAAAAAGAGAGGAAGGTCATAAGTTGAAATCACAGAAATATAGGATTTAAGAATCTTAGAGTCCACTTTGTTCATCCTTCTCATTTTTAAAATAGGGAAATTGAGGCCCAGTGTGAATAAGAGGAAAGTATAGATAATACAGTCAACACGGAGGCTTCAGGCATGATATTCATGTGACAATTGCACAAGAAGACAGCATGATAGACTCTCATGGCATTTTGGAATATTAGCTCATTCTCCCTTTAATATTGTGAGCTCCAATCTTCCTCCTCCTGGAAACAGCTCCTGGCACTGAATCTTCCTTTATTTATTTAGACCACAAAAGATACACAACTCAGTGAGGAATTTATGAGGCAACAGAGGGAATCGCCAGAGCAGGTTCCCAGGGATGGGCTTGATCACCAGTGGGAAGAACGTAAATCCCACTGGGGGAAGTCCAATCTTCCATCACCCCCACCAACTCCCTTCCTGCAAACTTTCTGTCCCTAACCTATCTTTCTTTCCCAGTGGCTCGAGTGTTCAACGCAGCGAGGGAGCTTAACTTTTTCTAGGCAGTGATTTTTCAAAACTCAGGGCCAAAACGCGATGGGCCAAAATCCGGTCTCTAACTAAGTCTCTGGGAAAGATTCTGTAGCTCTGTGGCCTTTCTAGACTACCTTCATCTTCTAGTCATTTCCTCCTGTGAGCCTTTGCTTAAAACGGACTCGCTTGCTTTCAATCTATATAAAGAAAGGGCTTCTAAGAAGCCACGTCTATTTGTCCCTACAAGGGGAGGGAGGCTGCAGTGAAGGCTGCGAGAGAGCCGCGCGCTGTAGAGAGGCAAGCCGGCATCACGGTCCAGTGGAACATACTCTGAAGATGGGATTTCCATGCTAAGTATTTCAAAGATTCGATCTTGATCTCCTAGGCGACTTTGGCCTTTAGAGATAGAATTTTGGGTTTTCCTGGATCCTGGCTACATCACAGGAAGCTAAAGTTCACAGTTTGGGAACATTTCTTCGATGGCTATTTTGTTTGCTTGTTTGCTCTCCGCCTGGGTCAGGTGAGGGGGATGGCAGCGTCTCTATATTGCTAACTGGGTTTTCACAGGAGAGGAAGATAATCAAAATTACTTTTAATGTAACGCAGCAGGGCCTGGTGAGAGAACTCTCCACCGCCGACAACAATTAGCAATTCGGCTTCTCCCGTCCAGCAGCCAGAAATCAGCTTTGCTGCATTTGGTTCGGGCCGGAGCATCTCCGTAGCAGCTGCAACCGCCGCACAGAGGTAGCTCCCGGCCGGGAGTGAAGCGCTGTCCTCGGTGCTGAAAGGCAGAAGCGCCCGGTGGGCGCGACAGCTCCGGAGACCCGAGGTCTCGGCGAGGGACAGCGGCTGTTCGACTTGGAGCTGCGCTTTCTCAGCGCGGCGCACGCGGCGCCGCCAGGGCAGTGCGGGGTGCCGGGCGCCGTGCGGGGGAGGGGAAGCCGCGCTCGCCCGCCGCCTACCGCGAGCCGCGCACGCGCGTCCGGGCCGCCTGCCCCTCTCTGTGACTTGCGTGTGTGTGTGTATGTGCGTGTGTGTGTGTGTGCGCGCGCGCGCGTGAGTGAGAGAGAGGAGAGAGCGAGAAGAGCGCGCGCGAGAGGGTGAGTGTGTGTGAGTGCATGGGAGGGTGCTGAATATTCCGAGACACTGGGACCACAGCGGCAGCTCCGCTGAAAACTGCATTCAGCCAGTCCTCCGGACTTCGGGAGCGGGCACAGGGCGCAGGGCATCAGCAGCCACCAGCAGGACCTGGGAAATAGGGATTCTTCTGCCTCCACTTCGGGTTTTTAGCAGCTTGGTGCTAAATTGCTGTCTCAAAATGCAAAGGATCTAATTTGCTGAGGAGAACGGCCAAAGAAGGAAGAGGAGGAAAAGGAGAAAAAACAGGGTATTTTGTGGATGCTCTACTTTTCTTGGAAATGCAAAAGATTATGCATATTTCTGTCCTCCTTTCTCCTGTTTTATGGGGACTGATTTTTGGTGTCTCTTCTAACAGCATACAGATAGGTAGGTACCCTTTGTGCTGTGCTTTTGAATTGTGCATAATTTGGTGGTAATCTTTGTTCAAATTAATTCATGTCATGTAGACTTATGTCATACCTTGACTGCATTCCAGATTTAAACTACCTAGAATATACATATTTTCTTGGGATGGAGCAAAGGGAAACGACTATGTCTTTGATACAATAGAAGAAAAGGTCTTCTCATTTCTGACCCCCCAATTTTATTAATTCTGCCTTAACAACATTTTCCAGTTTGCTCAGATTCTCTTGGGGTCTGAATGCAAAGCTGTGATTATGAGGATACGCTAACGTTTCTGGCCACCTCCCTTGCCCTCAGACTCTTATCTGTGTCTTGACCCTTTGGCTACCTTTTGGATGTTCGATCCCTGCTGCCCAAGTCCGTTTATTCGGCCTATTAGCGTGAATAAGAGACTCCTGGACTGTTGGGCGCTAGCGTGCACCCCTCCTTTCCCTCCCGGGCACTGACACTGTTCCCTTGCTTGGTGCTTGTTCTTTGCAGGGGGGCTATTTCCTAGGGGCGCCGATCAAGAATACAGTGCATTTCGGGTAGGGATGGTTCAGTTTTCCACTTCGGAGTTCAGACTGACACCCCACATCGACAATTTGGAGGTGGCGAACAGCTTCGCAGTCACCAATGCTTGTAAGTAATGAATATTCATGTCTTTCGGGTGCCGCTCGCGCAAAGCTACGGAGTGTGAGTGTGGGGTGGCGTGTGTGTGTGTGTTTCTGTGTGTCAGTGTGGGTGTGAGTGACTGCACACGCGCGTGCGTGTGACGGCGTAGAGAGAAGGTGGCTGTAATCTTGGGGACCCCCGCTGGCTGGAGGGGGTTAAAAAGGGGGTGAAAGGAATTGACGAGTGTGCGCACTAGGGAGCTGGGGAGAAGGCTGGAGCTGGGAGGGGGGCTTCCTTGGGTTTAGAGGGTTTCCGCGCATCTCGAGTGCTTGAAGAGAAGCCCTCCCCGCCTCCTCCCTCCGTTGCGCGCCTGCTGGCACCCTGCCCACAGAGAACACGTTGTTCCCCAGGGCGCGCTGTCAGGCTGTTGGACAGGTCCCGCGGGGGACTGCCGGAGCCCGGCCGCCTGCCCTGGGGTTTAGATCTGCAGCCGCAGCTCGCGTTCACCGTATGGCCTCCGCGAGCCCCACGGGCTCCTCTTCCGTGGGACAAGTTGTTGAAACGGTTGTGGAGTGGGCTCGGTGCGGTTACATAACGCCCAGGGGCGAGGGGCGAGGAGCGAGGCCGACGCAGGCCTAGGCTGGGGCGGGGCGGGGGCAGCGCCGTCAATTCCTCCCGCTCGGCCGAGCTCCGGCCCAAGTAAAGGGGGCAACGCCACCAGGGGCGCCGCGGTCGGCTCCCGGCCGGGCGCGCTTTGTTCTCAGGTAGCGGGGGCTCCAGCAAGGGCAGCCAGAGGAAGAGGACTTTGAAGCAGTGGGATCTGGCCGAGCTTGAAAATCTGGAGAAGTGGCTGATCAGCCATTTTAGTCTTTGCAGTTCTCCGTATTAGCCCTTTCAGTCCGCGCAGCGCTCCGGGACTCGCTATGAAGCTGCACGAAGGCTTTAGATGAAGTGCCAGAAACCGAACGATGAGGCGTCTGAAAGGTTGAGTGCGGAGGCTCGAGCCCGGGTCCCGGCGCCGCCTCCCCCGCCCGGCGTGGGCCGAGCAGCCGCCGCCGCGCTCCTGCCGCTTCCCGGCAGCTGCCTTCATTTCCTGCCGGCCGGGCTGGGCGCTGCTTTCCTGCCGCGACGTTCTCAGTCTTTATCTCATAGATAACGATGTGGGGGAGATTTGCAGATGGCTCACCTCCCCCTTTGGCTACAGTGTAAAGGAGCTAGCGGAAAATTACGACGGAAAAAGCCCAGCTGCAGCGTTCCCACGTTAGACAAACAACTGGTTGCCATCCCACTTCCCCCATACTACGCCTTAGTGATACAGTAAACGATTTAGCTTGGTTCTAATATCGGGAACATCAACTCATTTTGCAGCTACTGTCACCCGGAGGAATGAAGAAATGAAGCGATTTTCTTTGATTGATAGAACAGAGCATTATTGTGGTCATGTTAGATGCCTAGAATTCAGTTGTTTATGAAGGACCTATTTAAGAAGGTTTCAGTTCTACATGTTTTCTTCAAATGTTGATGCCCAGTGAGAAAAGAAAGGTGGGGCGGGAGGGAGGGAGAGAGAGAGACACGACTAAAGTGGATTTGCAGCTTGGAAAAATGTTGGTAAAAGAATATCTCGGAAAATTTTAGTACATAACATATATACATCCAAAGAAACTGCTTTAATTAAATTTTCAAGGCTTTGTGCTTGACCTATTTACTTAGCAGATTTAGACCATTCATTTGATATAAAGAAGTTTCCATTTATTCCTGAATTATAAGTTTGACCTGCAACTGTTCTGAGTATCTAACTGTATGGAATTGCATAGTAGTGTGAAAATGCCTTGAAAAATAATGGATCCTAAGGAAAGCCTATGTGTATAGAAAGTCCACAGATTTTAAATGTGAAGTGAAAGTACTGACAGCTGTACTTCTTCAAAACAGTTAGCGATTGAGAAGTTCATTCATTGGTGACAATAATGAGAGGAGCTTACTGAGAAAATAAGAGATACGTCCACTGAACAGAATGAATATCCCTTGATTCCAACAAATGTTGAATTACTGTGTTGAGGTTTTGTAAAGATCAAGGATTGTGGTTAGATTAGTTTAGATTTAGGTCCTCAGTCTATGTTTTTGAATTTTTTTAAATATAAATTTTACTGAAAAAAGACATACAGCCAGAATATGTACATATATTAAACACATATGCATCCATGAATTTTTAAAAAAATGAACACATCCATGTAATAAACACATGGATATCAGTTTTTAAAAACTACACAATTTAATTCATAGATCTGAGACGCTGGAATGATCAAATCTTCATTTGCACAGATTTTTTTTTCTCCGAAAATGAAGCTGAAATAAATATGTGCATGTCTCCAGATCCTAAAATTACCCTTTCAGTGATTATTATCCAAGGAAAACAAATTATTTTAAGGAACTGAACACATTTGAAAGATGCCACATGGAAATTCAGAATCACAGCATTTGCAACTCCCATTTTATAAGTAATGGTACTGATTGCTAAAAAGATCTAGTGAAGCACCGTTAGAGAACAGAGGCTCATTGGATAGAATTTTCTGGAGTTGGCATTGACTCATTGACTTGGCAAATCACTTAATATTTTTGTGACTCAATTTCTTTATTCCTTTAGGAATTTCAAAATGTAGAGATTGTAAAATGAAATGAAGTATTTATATCCTTCATTTTTTGTGTGCTGAGGACAATAGAAAATGTAAAATTAGTTTAACTCAAGAGAGAGAGAGAGAGAGAGAGAAAGGGAGAGAGAGAGAGAGAGAAAGAGACGCATATAAAAACCAAAAACAAAGTCAGGAAATGAATGGAAATCTCCAATGTCAAATTTGTCAAGATGAGTCTTGATCATTTAAATCCTGCTCAAGGTTTTTCTCCAATGCTTATCCTTCTATCCTTTGTTTTCTTGCCTTTTTAGTCAGGGAGTCCATGATTCTTTCCTAAAAAAAGTGGAAAAGAGCAGCATTAAATACATTGATAGCTAAGATCAAAATATCTTTTCCCCATTTCCTCCCGAAATCTCAGGAATTCTGTTCTTTAACTACAGTATTAAATAACATGGAACATCATTCAGTGCTCACAAAGTAGCTTGTTCTTTCAACCATAAAAATCCCACAGGCTTACATTTATATATTAAGAAAGTTGAGTTTCATACCTTAATATAATATCAAAAGAGAAAATTTAATTTAATTTTATTTGGAGAAACTAATTTGAAAATGTTGAGGTTGATATTGATTCAAGGATCCAGAGAGATCCACTGAATGGGTTAAGGTTATGCAAAGGAAATGAATTCATTCTATTTTGAACTGAGCAAAACGACTGCTGAGCTCCCACATCCTTGTGTTTCACAATCACTGTGGGATCATGAAAGTACCTGTTTGTTCCCATTTGTTTCCATGGGTACCTGAGGAAATAAAGACGGAGTTCCAATTTCTTTCTTTTTCTCTCCTTCCTTCCTTCTTTTCTTCCCT